TTCAGGATATTGTGAGTTCTAATCAGGATACAAAGGATATCCTGAGTATATAGGCTGAATCTTCAGAGAGTGCAACATAAAAGCCATTGCTTTCTGCTGAAACAGTGAAAATGTAACTCAGTAATAAAGCATGTGACCCTGTATGTTTCTTGCATGAGTCCAAACTACTGTATGTATTTGAAGAAAATGGCATGTCCTCCAGAGATGTTATACCTAGAACAGATAAAAGTAATTCAACCAGCACAGCATCTGCTTTGCAGGATGTCTGTTGCATTAGGATAAGGAATAATTTGAGCACTGAAATACGTAGGAAAGAAAGCATCACTAATAATTTTACATAATCTACAAATTACATAAGCAGCAGGATGCCCACTGAAAAAGCAAGCCTGCTGTCTGTATTTGAAGGACTGTTCTAAATGAAACAATTTTGTGTTCTGTGATGACAAAGATTCTGACATCTATCAAGGCCTATCCAGTCTTTCTGGATAAGAAAGCAGCCATCTCCCCAGCACATACGTTTAGGTGCCAAGAATGCTGTTAGTAATGAGGCTTGAAGGAGGAGACTATCAGCTCCTCCTCTGCCAGCCAGCCTCACAAGTCACCATCACAGCTGATGGTACTCAGGAATGCAGATCCCAGGAATGTCTAGTAGAAACTGTGGTGGTCCATTACAATTAAGCCCATCTCATCAGTAAATAAAACTCAATACCAAAAAAAAGTAGTTGTTTTTGATTTCAATATCATACCAGACCAGCTGCTGACCTCCTAAGGAAACCCAATGATTCCGGAAAGGTAAAAGTAGTTTATAATATGCAAACCTTCAAAGGTATTAACTCAGAGAATATTAAAATCTGCAAATCGTATTACCACATCTCTTTCAAACCTTGGAAGTATGCAAAGCATTGAGACCATAATGGAGAAAGACAGAATGCAAGCAAGCTACACATGCAGCACTGGTGACCATAAGGTCACTATAACATAAGGTTGATCCAGCGCGGCGAGGTTTGGAGCACTGCTCTTGTAAAAGAGAACACTAGCAGTTTTTGCCTCCCCGGTGAAGCAAACATATTGGGTTGTTTTGCAGTAATTTGTCCACAGTGAAAATTTCAAACTGCGATTGACAAACAGAAAAATCCCAGAAGCTACCAACAGAATTTGAAAAATCTTTGCTACTCCCAAATATCAGCAGCATCTGATACTGAAACAGTAACATTTCAATTTATTTCACAACTTCTGAGAAGGGCCAGTGAACACAGCTGACTTCTTATCCGGAGCATCCTTGTACTGGAAAAGCCAGATGACTAAATCATAATATGAGAACCTTAATGTTATCACAGAATTGCAGAAAACTAAAAAAAATACAAATTTTTACTCAAATAGGGAAACCATATGCGAGTTTCAAGAAAGCACTGGAAAAAAATCTAAGAATAGAAAATACACGATAAAGATGTGATCATGTGCACGTCTGCCAAGGTAGTCAAAGACTGGAAAAGTGGCCCTGTCTACTTCTCAGGAAAGATAAAACTATCAAGACTAATGGAAAATAAAAATAGTGTTATATAAAGGCAACTGAATCATAATACCCAGAACGCTGAAAATAGAAACTCTCTTGAGAATGGAGGTCAGTACTAAGAAAGCAAGAAACACCACGTACTGGCAAGATGGGATGGGGCGTGAGAAATCACGATAGCTGGGAGGAAATCTAGGACACATGGCAAAATAAGACAAAAATGTGTAGCATCTTCAACAGGCATTAGAGTAAACCAAAGAACAGACCTTCTACCAAAGGAAAAGAAATATTGAAACATACCTTAATATTACAGGCCACTAGCCAGGCTTTCGGGAGCCAGACAAAATGTCAGAACCTTCCACAGTACAGGCTGCAGTTTGAGCAGCAAAGTGTTTTGAACTACGTGGTTTCAACCACAAGATCCTGCTTTACTTTAAACTTGGTCATATGTTTATTTGGGAACTCGAATTTGGTTATATCTGATCATCCCATATGATAGCCAAGTAAACAGTAAAGCTAAGCCTAGTGTAAAAATTGCTAAGAGTACTAAAAAGTTGCAAATAGCAATGAGACTCTTTAGCATTCCATTCCTGAATGCGGAAAATATTCCCACAGAAAAGTTTATAGCAGCGGGGTACAATGCTTGCAGTCACGTTCAGTAACTGACAGTGGAAGGAATAACAGACCAAAAACAGTAAGAAAAAAGGCCAAGCTTACTGTAAGTGCAACAAGGTTAAAAGTCTCCCAGAATTACGTCCTGATTCTTACACCAAAGCAACGGCTAGAGATCGCAGCCTTGAGTATACTGAAATTACATATCCAGCTGGTGAGAAAGATAGAGACACTTGTAAGGAAACGTGTATCAACAACAACAACAAAGTGCCATAGTTCATAACTAAAAGGAATTGGAAAAAGAGAGGTGTAAGTCAAGATATTTGTGTCTGCTTTAAAAATTCATTATGAAGACGTTTATCTTGAAAGGCTATGACTCTCCAGCTTGTTTGACACCAAAGCAATTTCCCCATGTGTTTCTCTGTCTACGGTTGTACTGCTATAGCTACTTTGGTAATGTTAAAGGACATACCATCCCCCTCACTAGAAAGGGGATATTTACCCCTTTCACAGCTTTTTTTTAATATTTAAGCACTTCTCCTGAACCCAGTGCTGTGCAATATACAACATAAAAACAATCCCTAGGACTAGTTTAACCGAAAGCTGCACACAGGAAAAAACACTAGAAAAATTCTGAAGCAAAGGCAGTAACTGGGTGGTGAGTATGGTTCAGTCTTGTCCTCCTGGGGAGAGGAAAGGAAATTGGCTTTTCTAAGTTCAGCCATCAAACCAATGTTGAAACCAGTTCTGTGCTTGAACTATATTCTATCCTTTCTTCTTTACATCAGTCACCTTAATCAGAGACAAAGACAAAACAGACAGTTTTCTAAAATCTAAATAAATCTCTCTTCAAAGCATCCTTTTCTTGCGTTGACTAAAAGAAATGAGGCGACATCTATTTATATATCCAGTTTATTTATATCTAGTCAACTGCTCACTTACACTAACAAAGAAATACACCATTTATTTTGCCTGTGCAGCTACAGAGCTGTAACTTCATTAGGAATTACAGGTCAACTTTCTCACAGCTGAAAACACACGCAGTAAAACGGGACAGAATTTGAAGGTATTAATACACATGATATTTTCCATTGCTTATGAGTCCAGGCAATTCTGCATGGATTTTCAACAATACCAATAATTAAGTCTGCGTTCAGCACTGATCCTTTACCAATTTTTAGACCCTCTACGAAACTCTTCTACACGTGAGCTGTCACCAAATGACGGTTTGCTGAGCTGTGTCACTACGAAGCCTCGTTACCTCTAGATTTCTGCTCCGTGGCGACAGCCTCCGAAAGGTATGCAACAAAATTGAAAGTGTTTCTTGCAGTGCACTACTTTCCAACATCCCTCTCTCAAGTAGTGTTTTTTTTTAAAAGTATTTAAAAAAAAAGGGTTAAGTCCATACCAAAATCTCTTCCGCAAAGGGGGGACAGTATCTGACCATCTCTTGTCATGCAACATAAAGAAACATCCAGTCCTTCCTGTTAGGAATACTATTTCCTTTATCAAATCTGATTGAAATGGATCAACGAGTTCAGAAGTTGTTAGGAGGGTAAGGTGAAGGTGGGACAACTGACAAAACATAATCCTTTAAAACTTTCCTTAGAAAAACATGCCTGAAGCTGTGAAGTGTTTTGTGACACCAATGGAAGTCAGGTCACTTGTTCGGCTTTTTTTTTTTTTTCCAGAGGCCTTGTAGCAAAAGAGAAAGAAAAAACAATACCGGACCACCCTCAGGTGAAAAATTAACAAGAAAACTCCACTTCACTGCTAAAAATGGAAAACACCTGCGCTACGGGCTAAATCTTCTCCCAGTAAAGGGCTCCGCAGCGAGGCGTCACAACGCGAGGCGCTGTTTTCAACACCGCTAGACCCGCGCAGGTTTAACGCCGTATAACCAGGCAGTATGTTTTCCAAGGGCCACCGAGAGCGAAGCAGCCCCCGGAGCCCCCGGGCACGACCGATCGCCGCTGCCAA